CTTTGTGATTAATAGCTCAGCTTATTGAAGAATATATTAAGTACATTTATTATATTGATGTAATATAGATTGAGTTTTTTTTTCTCACATCGGTTTACTTTATGATAGTTGGTAGTTGGAGGCCTTTAGCGTCCATATACTAAATGCCTCTATTGATATGTAAACTTTGACTTTAGCACAGCTATTTCTGTCACAAGCTAATCCCTCAGCTATTTCAATGCTAAATTATCCTGCTTTGATAGGTAAACTCCTTTGTTAAGGCTCTCCACGCCTCTCACCGAGCTTAAAAGATGCTACGAATCTTAACAGCATTCATTCAAGCTCTGTTGTCCCGACAGTTCTGTTCTTTCACCTGAAGAAGGCTACTTGTGTTGTGGCCGAAACGTCGTGAGAATTTTATTATCTTATTTTATTTTATTATTTTATTCTCATTCGACGTGACTTTACCGAAATAACCAAAGAAGATTAGGTGTGATTATTCGCAAATGGAAGAAACACAAAAGAACTGTCAATTTCCCTCGGCCTGGGGCTCCATGCAAGATCTCACCTCGTGGAGTTGCAATGATCATGAGAACGGTGAGGAATCAGCCCAGAACTACACGGGAGGATCTTATCAATGATCTCAAGGCAGCTGGGACGATAGTCACCAAGAAAACAATTAGTAACACACTACGCCGTGAAGGACTGAAATCCTGCAGCGCCCGCAAGGTCCCCCTGCTCAAGAAAGCACATATACATGCCCGTCTGAAGTTTGCCAATGAACATCTGAATGATTCAGAGGACAACTGGGTGAAAGTGTCGTGGTCAGATGAGACCAAAATGGAGCTCTTTGGCATCAACTCAACTCGCCGTGTTTGGAGGAGGAGGAATGCTGCCTATGACCCCAAGAACACAATCCCCACCGTCAAACATGGAGGTGGAAACATTATGCTTTGGGGGTGTTTTTCTGCTAAGGGGACAGGACAACTTCACCGCATCAAAGGGACGATGGACGGGGCCATGTACCGTCAAATCTTGGGTGAGAACCTCCTTCCCTCAGCCAGGGCATTGAAAATGGGTCGTGGATGGGTATTCCAGCATGACAATTACCCAAAACACACGGTCAAGGCAACAAAGGAGTAGCTCAAGAAGAAGCACATTAAGGTCCTGGAGTGGCCTAGCCAGTCTCCAGACCTTAATCCCATAGAAAATCTGTGGAGGGAGCTGAAGGTTCGAGTTGCCAAGCGTCAGCCTCGAAACCTTAATGACTGGGAGAAGTCTTCTTCAGGTTCTTTCGGTAAAGTCACGTAGAATGAGACTGTCTGGAGGACAGTGCTGGAGCTCCAGCGCTGTCCTCCAGACAGTCTCGTCCCTTCACCTGATGAAGGCCGCTTGTGTTGTGGCCGAAACGTCGTGAGAATTTTATTGAGTTATTTTATTTATTAATTTATTATTTTATTCTCATTCTACGTGACTTTACCGAAAGAACCAAAGAAGATGAATCCTTGCAGTCACGAAAGCTTTAAATCGAGACTTGGAGAAGATCTGCAAAGAGGAGTGGGACAAAATCCCTCCTGAGATGTGTGCAAACCTGGTGGCCAACTACAAGAAACGTCTGACCTCTGTGATTGCCAACAAGGGTTTTTCGACCAAGTACTAAGTCATGTTTTGCAGAGGGGTCAAATACTTATTTCCCTCATTAAAATGAAAATCAATTTATAACATTTTTGATATGCGTTTTTCTGGATTTTTTTGTTGTTATTCTGTCTCTCACTGTTCAAATAAACCTACTATTAAAATTATAGACTGATCATTTCTTTGTCAGTGGGCAAACGTACAAAATCAGCAGGGGATCAAATACTTTTTTCCCTCACTGTAAGTATCATGTAAAATGTATGAGTTGATGTATACTTCAATTACATTTTCTTAAACCTTTTTGACTGAGCGATGTATCTGTCTAGGGGGTCTACAGTAATGTATGCAAATAATTAATGTCTCTTTACAATTATCTTACACACATTTGCCTTCTCTTGCAAATAATGCCACAGGCTCTTTATTATCTATAACTGATATGATTATTATGAATCATTCGTGTAGATTATTTCCGAAATTATATTCCAATGTTTGTATTGTGTCATGAGATGAATGACACATTGCCATCACATGCTGATAATATTCTCATCACAGTCAAAGAAAGCCCCTGGAAGTTTCCATCATAGCACTACTTCTGAAATCACATCAACAGACCACATGTATGAGCACTTGGGGCACACTGTTTAATGCCTTGCAAAGATTGCTCTTCGCTTGTTATTAAAAACACCTTTTTTCACTGATCTGAAAACTAGCCACCTTTTGTTAAAAATAACAAGTCTAATGTGAAACATTTGTTTGCTTACTGCCATTAATAACCGGGCTGAGATCATTAACTTGCTCCACTTTGGAACTGGGTTTAATTGTGGCAGCGACCTGAATTTGAACTCAGGCATCAGAGGTGCCAGCTCAGACCTCTGACCCCTAAGCTACCAGGATACCAGTAGCCTTCTTGATTATATATAAATAACGTGGCAGGAATTTAACTGTTAACTCCATAGCAGTCTCATACTGTTATTCACACTCCCATGTAGTGTTGGATTTTAACTTTCAGCATTTGAAGACATTATTTAAATTCATTGCAATTTATTTTCATCTGTAGGAAGCTGTAAAGAAGACATCTACTTTTCTCATTGCAGTTTTCAGGGAATAATATTTTCACGAAAATAAGCACATTTTTTTAGTGTGGAATTATCATTTGCATCTCTTTGTGATTGTTGATTCAACTATATCCATAAACTGCTCATTAAAATAGTATTTTATATATATATTTTCGGAACAATTACAGTATTTCCTCATGAAGAAATTTGGCAATGTTACGGGTATTTATGTCCATTTCCATTACTCTATTTTAGTATTTGGCACAAAACAAAATGTGCTGGTGTATCTAAAAAAAATGTCTCACTACATAAGAACGTGACCCAAACTTCGTGTCAAGTAATAATAATGTTAGGATCAAAGACGTTTAAATGCTGGCATATTTGGTCTCTTAATCACACTTCCATCATTGCTACTATGTGGTACGCTCATGGACATTTTGAGAATACCACATTTCCACGAGGATAAAAATAAACATTAGATAGTTTTATAATTAAGACATGCGTTGATGTAATTTGATTGCTTGAACATAGCTGTTAATACCCCTAAATGCAGCTTGAATAGCAGCAGAAAAAAGGTTAATATGCAAAACAATAATTAATTTTATAATGTTATGCAGGTCACCATAAATATTCATGAACGATCACATATCACAAACCTGGTGTGAAGGACAACAGTCCACTTCCAAATCCCGCTCTTTTTTCTGCATCACGTTTGGCTGATGGGAAACAGCATGCCTGATGCCACAGCTATGATTGACAAATAAACCTTCAAGGGCAGAAAGGCAATCTTCCCAGCATGTCTGATCTTCTGTGTTGATCAGTTCAAACTGTTTCTTTTCTGCAAAAGTCTTCCCATCAAAACAGAAATGTGAGCAGCTTCATTTGTATCTCTGGGTTCACTTCCCACCTCCCCCCTCCCCCCCAAAAAAAGTTATCCTAGTCCCTACCATGAAACATCTGATGGAAAATACAACTTTTGTGAAATGCATTTACTGCACTGTACAATACTATATAAATTTAGCAATGTTTTGCAGCACTTCATTCTACATATTTCTGTCTCCAGTGAGTTATATTGAAATATTATACAATAACCTTGTGTGTATCCATTTATATGCCATGCTCTGTAATACCGTTGTATTAATTCCCAAACTCTGCATTTTGCTCAAACGAATGCTAAGTTCATTGCATTATTCCATTTTTCTAATCTTTCTGCTGAATTTACTTATTATTTCGGTTGTCATTCATAACACTTGTAGTTAGTTGTCTTTTCACGCATGTAAAAATCCAGTTGAATCATTGGTGGCTGCCCAGCTTCGAAACCATAAAATCAGTGATGCTGGCCTATTGCTTGAACAGAAAACTAAACACATGAATCAATAATACATAATAAGTAACATTATTTGGCAATGGTCCAATGGATAAAGAGACTTATAGAATTGAATTCACAAGTAGTTATGTGACATCATGGCATATGTGCTATGCAATGTCACCTATTATATATTTTCCTTTTCATCCAGTGTTATTGATGAATGTTTAGATTTTTGTTGTTGATATTTGTGCTTGTGCACTACGGCCAACGCAGCATCACCAAGTACATCGCTTTAACAGTCTTAGTCCCCTTAATCATGAGTATATCTGGCACGTGGTTTTCAGTGTTCATACTTCTTGCTAGAAATGTATTTCAACAGTAGTGTTCCTTTTGGGATGACCGTGTGTATACAATAATAAATTGTATTTATGCATATTACAAACAATCTTTGTATGGCACTATTCGATGATACATTATTTCTTTAAGTACACAAATTTTATATCTCTATGGTCAGTTTCTACATCTCACATCGTAAGTTATTGCATTGAAAACAAATTCCGTGTTCACACGTAAAACAACAACAACTTTCTATTGTAAATGCGGTATCTGGAGTAACGAGCTATTGGAAAAAATACGCATTTCCAAAGTGCGTAGGAAATATTGGGTGTGGAAGTGGGTGTAAATTAGGGTGAAGACACATCATAGTCTTTCATCCTTGAGCTACGCTATTTAGAATTGTATAATTGTAGAGAATGAGCATTGCACTCTTAAAAAAACAGAAACGTGAAGACATTCAAGGGTGCCAAGGTAGTGAGATGTTAACTACCTCGCCTGTTATACAGGAGGCCGTGGGTTAAATCCCGACCCTGACTCCTGTATATTTGGAGTTTGCATGTTCTCCCCATGGTCGTGTAGATTTTTCTCTGGGTCCTCCGGTTTTTCCCTCCATATTTAGAAACATGTGTTTCGAGTATTTGACTGCTATATGTTTCCACATGATAAGCCACTTCGTTGAGCTATCATTTGTGATAACCAGGTCACTTCTAAATAGCGCTATACAGCTCAGTGGACCTTACATGCTAAAATAAAAACTAGTTTTATTTGAGTTCATGTCACTGAAAATTGAGGTCTTCCCATTTTTTTCCAAGGGATATTTATCCCTCACTTCCATGCTCATCAGACAAGTTGCATATGGGAACCCATATTGCAGTTCTAACCACGTGGTCTGTCAATTGGTTTACCACAGTCTATTTATGTTCAATCTTGATTTGAAGCTTTCGTGACTGCAGGAATCCATACTCACGTAGGTAGAAAAATAAAATACCTACGTGACTTTACCGAAAGGACCAAAGAGTATCTATTTATGTTGCCACTAAGTCGGTAAACAAAACAGTTGGTAAATAATAAAAGGATATTGTGAATATATGAATAGTACATTTTTCTGAAAAGCTAATAGAAAGTAGTGCTATTTCATACTCTTTGGTTTTTTCGGTAAAGTCATGTAGGTATAAAATAAAATAAATAACGACGTTTCGGGCGCAACACAAGCGTCCATCATCAGGTGGGAAACGCTTGTTTTGCGCCCGAAACGATGTGATCTATTTTATTTTATACCTATGTGACTTTACCGAAAGAACCAAAGAGCATGGATTCCTGTAGTCACGAAAGCTTCAAATCAAGATAGTGCTATTTCCCCACTCGAGGGTAAAAATGTACAAGCCGATCAGAACATTTTAACTTGTTTACCTTTATGGAATTTGAGATATTTTTTTTGGATTTGTTAATTAAGTCACGTAATTTGATTCTGCTCATTGCAATAAACAAGAACCATTTCATATTTAGATTAAAACAAATATAAGCTTCATACATTTTCTGGAAACAATGGACAGAAAATGTTTGCCATATTGAAATAATGGAACCTAGTCTGCAATGTGTTTTGAAACGTGCAGCTAATACACATGTTGATGTGTTTTAGGCAGCTATATACCATTTTTTATGCTGAAGTTTGTAAACTGCAGCTTATATGTGAAAAGTAATCGTGACGCAAAGTCTATAATGTAAAAAAAAAATTCAACACAGCTCACACTGCAAATTTGTCTTGTAACTATATTATCCTGCTGCTAACTAAATATTCACTTCAAAACGATTTTAATGCAGCTTACAGCTTTGTTTTTTTCTCAATATATTGACCTGCTATGTAACGCAATTTTTGTTCCTGGCTAGTAAGTGTTATTTCGTAATTGCTTATGCCTAAAACGTATAGAAAATGGCTATTATTCCCCACAAACTTTGCTTTTGTGACCAGGACAATAGTATTTTGAAATGTACCTATTTTCAATGAGAAAACGGGCGAATTTGTGTATTTTCGTTCACATAAAGTCATACAAAAATAACATGAATCAAAATTAACATGTATTTATTCTAAAGCAATAGAAAATTACTACAAAAGATTTAGAAGTGAGTAGTTTTTCGAGATTCACGATTATACTGTAAAACACTTTCATGAATCAGCATCAAAATGTAGTCTCCCATCATGTTCTCGTTATACTGTCCTTGGTAGCGGCATTAAAAGTCCAGTATATCCTGCTGGAAGCGTTCGCCTTGCTCCTCAGAGTACGCTCCCATGTTCTCCTTGAATTGATCAAGATGAGCATCAAGGATATGGACTTTGAGGGACATCCTACAGCCCATTGTGTTGTAGTTCTTCATCAGAGTCTCAACCAGCTCCACATAGTTTTCGACCTTGTGATTGCCCAGGAAGCCACGAACCACTGTGGCAAAGCTGTCCCAAGCCACTTTCTCCTTACTAGTGAGCTTCTTGGGGAATGAATTGCACTCCAGGATCTTCTTTATCTGTGGTCTGACGAAGACACCGGCTTTGACCTTTGCCTCAGACAGCTTAGGGAAGAAGTTTTGAATTGTACTTGAAGGCTGCCGACTCCTTATCTACAGGTCTGACAAATTGTTTCATGAGGCCCAATTTGATGTGCAGTGGTGGCATCAGCACCTTCTGGGGGTCCACCAGTGGCTCCCACTTGACGTTGTTCCTCCCCAAAGAGAACTCGGTCCGCTGTGGCCAGTCCTGCATGTGGTAGTGCGCCTTGTGTCCCTGTTGTCCCAAAGGCAAAGATAGCAGATAAACTTGGTAAAACCATTTGTAGACCCATCAGGAGTGCCACCATTTTGAAGTCTCCGATGACCTCCCAGCCATACTAATCATTTTTTAAGGCGTCCAGCAAGGTCCTGATGCTGATGTAATCCTCTTTGAGGTGCACCGAGTGAGCCAGGGGAAGAGACGGATACTTGTTAGCACGGCTTTGAGGCTCCAGGATAAGCTGTCAATGAAGTGGCGCCACTCATTCTGGTTACATGCGATTCCGATTTCCTCGAACAGACTGGTCACATTGTGGCAGAAGCAGAGCCCATCTTGACGGGTGAAGAAGCTGCAAAAAGGTTGATGACACTTCCTCTGATCTGCGACTTGCACACTTTCATCCAACAAGTTCCACTGCTTCAGCCTCGACGTCAAAAGCTTGGTGAGACCAAGATATCTGATCAAGTCGTTGAGGTATTTTTGGTTGGGGTAGTAGGGGTTCCTCTCCTCAGCTCCACCTCTGAAATTGTCATCTGGGTCTACAACGTCTTCCTCGCTCTCAGACTTGCTGCTCTCTTCTAAAGACTGCTCTCTCTTCAGAGGAGTGGGTACGGGGTGCTCATTTCAGTGTGGCACCGGGCGATGGATGAAGGAACGTCCGGACACATGATAGCAGGTGCATTCTTGCCAGTCCGACGTTTGGAAGGGTCCATCATGCAGAAGTAGCAGTTGCTTGAGTGGTCAGTGGGTCCCCGCCAAATTCTTGGGAAAGCAAACTTCATGGCTGTCTTTTCCCCTCTGTACCATCCTACAAAAATACATTTATTTCACCCATGACTAATGTGTAAGAGATGCTCGCAACATTTTTCATACATGATATATATTTTTTCAATCCCATTGAAAATTGTAAAACGTTTTTAAATAAATAAAACTTTTACAATAAAATTCAGAGCAACAATTGTCCATCTTACCTTCAAGAGTTTGTTTGCATTGCTCGCAGATGAAATGAGGTGCCCAGGGTTTGTCTTGATCCCCAACAGGCATGCCGAAATATGCCTTGTAGGCCTCACACATCTTAGCAGATGCTTCCACAGAGTAATTTTTCGCTCGTCTTGATAACTTGGCCGCAGACATAGCAAAATGCATCTGCCGAATGCTTGCAGCCTCTGGATGCCATCTCATGAAAATGCAGATATGTATCCCCTTATGCAGCTGGAATTAAACTGAACTGGTGGGCTTATGGCCTCTGTATATATACTACTACTTATATTACTGGAAAGTTCTAGAATTTTGTAGAAGTTACTCCAAGTTTACTCAGCACTGCATCTATCTGGAATGTTCTGGAAAATAGATCTGAACAAAGTCCCATCAGTGAGCACCTCCAGCAGGCAAGACTGCATTGGCTGGATCATGTAGCCCGCATGCCCAGCCACCGGATGCCTAAACAGCTCTTGTTTGGTCGAATAGAGCGGGCTAAACGGGCACGCACACGCTAGAAAAGAGATGGAGTGATGTGGTACAAGAGGATGTGGAGCTGAGTGGACTTGCCAATGACTATTACCAGTGATGTCAAGATCGGCCTTTGTGGAGGAGGCTCGTGAAGGACGCTACTGGGCAGTTGGAGGCAATTGTCCAACAACGGTGGGTAGAAGAGCGATGCTCACAATGAGCGGAGAGCCGGGTGGCTAAAACATAGCAAGTTGGCACAGTAAGAGGCACAGGTGGTGCCCCTTACTGTGCCAGTCATCTCAGTCAGTCGACCCATGGCACCTAGGTCTGTCCCGTGACCTCCTGCCAGTGGGCGTTCGACACTTCACGTGGCCTTAATGTGCACATAGCCTTGCACAAGTGCCATGGTGATGTCACCGACGCTTAGTGGCGAATGGTGGTTGTTGTTGTATACAAAGAAGGTGAGAGATAGGTGGTGAGAAACAGGACTATATAATATTAAATGTTTTCCTGGCTGGCTGGCTATCTGGGAGGGATGGCTATATAGACAGTCACATTCAAAGGTTCAAAGTGACAAATAAAATGGAGCAAAAGCTTAAAACTATGGAAATAAGCATGGGAAGATTCATGCTTGGGATTACACTCAGAGGTAGGGAACAGGACACATGGATAAGAGAACAAATGCAAATCGGAGACATCATGTAAAGAATCAAGAACAATTTATTGTATTCTCTGGGTTTTTCGGTAAAGTCACGTAGATAGGTTCAAATTCGTGAATATAAAATCAACAAAAAACTACGACGTTTTGCTCTCAACACAAGCGATCGTCATCTGGAGAAAAAAAGAGGGGTAAAGCTGCTGAGGCAGACTGTTTTAAAGGTTTAAAATGGGTGTAGCCTACGGGTCATGAACGAAGTGGGCGGGGCTAGTGATGTTAATGTGAGAAATTAGCATGTTAATGTAAGATCGGAGAGCGGCCTCCACGACAATGGCATGGAGGTGGCTATGTTAATGTGAGAGATTAGCATGTTAATGTGAGATCGCAGAGCCACTACCACGTCGAGGTCGGCGCGTGGAGGTGGCAATGATGGTGTTAAATAATTTTACCTGTTAATATAAAATTGGAGAGCCGAAACCATGGGGAAAATAAAAATTTACATCGGAAGGTGGCAGGATGGGAACATCACAGCCAGTTATGAGTTAAACTGGTTAATGACGTCCTTCCAATGATTGCCAGGTTTGTACCCATCCTCTCGGTTGAAATTGTGTCTGTCTGTATATGTGGATGGCTTCATGAACGAATCTTTGTTGATAGCCAGTGGGCTTACAAAGTACCTTCGTATTTTTTTCCTCCTGATAACGATCGCTTGTGTTGTGATCGAAACGTCGTGGTTGTTTATTTTATTTTCATTAATTTGAACCTATCTACGTAACTTTACCAAAAGACCCAAAGAATATGAATTCCTGCAGTCACGAAAGCTTTAAGTCAAGAAAAATAAATTGCTTCGAGTAGATCACATTGGCTAGATGAAATGGTGCCCGATGGACGAGATTGGTGATTGAATGGTGAAAGCCAAAGAGGAGAATGCATCAAAAAGAACAATATCATGGAGATGGAGCGATGAGATTGGTTCCTGTACAGGAGTGAGATGAATAGTAGCACCCTTGGTCTGTGAGAGATGGAGCCTTGATGGAGCAGTGTACAGATAACGGCTGACGATGATGGTGACGATGGCACATTAATTAATTAATGTACCTCAATTATTGAATGTTGCCTCAAAGGCTGAAAGAGGAATGCGTTTATCATATTAGCGACATCATATACATTGTTGATACAACATTCGGAAAACTTTCTCGTGGCAATATACAATACTTATTTTACTGCATAAATGTTTTACGGTATGCATTTGCTGTTTAACCTTGGTAGTTTTTAAGGCAGTTTTCTGTGACTGAGAACACGTAGCAGAAATGTTGATTCTTAAAAACTCCACAAATTGTGTTTTGTGAGTACGAATAAACACATGCACACCTGGTGTGTTTACTAGCTAGTCAATATAAAAGTAAGGCCGTACTAATTAGGCATTTACAATTAATCTATTTAATTATGTTTTAGCCTTTGCTTTCATATCGTCTCAAGACAGCTTTCTCTCCCAGTAGACAGTAAAAATAATTTTGATGGTTTTTTTGCCATTACAAAAAAATAGGGAGATGTTTATATATAGTAAGTCACCTTCTGACAAGTATTTATTGCATCAAATGTTTTGTCATAAACAAACGGGACGTGTTATTATTTATATTGCTCTGTAATAATGTTTTCTTCGTGTGTTAGATACAACTGAAGCGTGATTTTTGCTTTATAAATGTTACGAACAAACAGCACTTGTTGACCTAACGACTGTAGTTTCTAGGTAATTCAGTACATACAGTAACTGTTACATATAGTGTAATTGTCCCTGTGTTGTCTGCCTAATCCCATTGTCACGGGGTAATGTTATAATTTAACTGGACTTGGAAATCTGTGTACCATTTTTTTTAAAATTGGGGTTGTATGCCACCTCGCTCCACCTTTGTCTCTATGGCAAGATTGTACTGTACATGCAAGTGGCTGCGCTTATGTTGTAAACATTATATTGCTTAGTGTTTTGT